AGTGAGGGAAAGTAAGAGGAAGGGTAGGGAATGAGGGAGAGTGAGAGGGAGGGAGGAAAGGATTGGATGAAGGAGAGAGTAGAGAATAGTGAATAAATGAGAGAATTAATACAGTTGATAAAGATGTATTAAAGATAGTATTTGTTTAAGTTATTTTTTAAGATGCCTTTCTTGAGGTTATCTTCCTGAGTGATGTATAAGGCTTAAACCAATTGACCGTCTTGAGTGTTTGTGCAAGGATTCACACACACACACACACACACACACACACACACACACACACACACACACACACACACACACAAACTCATTATCCCCTCAACTTTTTGGGTAATAAATGTCAAAAAAATAATTAACTCAAAAGTTCATCATTAAACACTAACTTAAGCACCGATTGTCAGAGTCTAGTGTCAGGTAGCAGATGTTAAGTACCAGGTACAAAATGTTAGGTGTCAACTACCAGGTGTCAATTGCCCTGTCTGGTGTCAAGTGCTAAGTACTAACTGTTGGATGTCAAATGCAACGTGGCAACTGTCATGAAACATGTGCTAAGGACAATTGTCAAGAGTCAAGTGCCAGGTGTCACGTGCCATCTGTTAAGAATTAAGTGCCAGGTGTCAGGAGTCAAGTGCCAGGTGTCAAGTGCCAGCTGTTATGAATTAAGTGCCAGGTGTCAACTGTTATGAGTCAAGTGTTAGGTTTCAGAAGGCAAGTGCCAGGTGTCAAGAGTCAAGTGCCAATCGTCAGGAGTCAAGTGCCAGGTGTCAAGTGCCTACTGTCAGGTGTCAAGGATCAAGGACGCGTCTAATTGGCCAGCGCCCTCTGCCTCATCCTTCATCCCGTGAGGAGTTTCCGAGAAGGAGGCAATGAATGGCATCCTGGAGTGCCATCCTGCGGAGAACGTCTGTAATTGGTTCTAATCAGGGCGCTTCACACTTGTCGTGTGTGTGTAATAATAATAATAATAATAATAATAATAATAATAATAATAATAATAAACGGTTTATTAATAGAGTTGCAGCCGGTGGCTGAAAATATACAGACTTACATTTGATTTAGACATAATGATATAATATGCAGTGAATCCATTTACAGGGCTGTACAGTACATAAATCAGGAGTTGTTTATTATTTTAACAATAGATGGGATGGTGCTGTTCTTATATCTATCGGTGCGAGCTCTTATGGGCTGTATTTTGTTGTAGTGGCGGACCAGTAGTCCCCTGCCAAACCTTTCCAGTGCTTGGTGGTGGAGGGATGGCATTTCCAGGGTGGAGAGAGCGTTGGTGTAGCCGGAGTATTCTGCGCCGAGCATGATTCTGCAGGCCCTTTTCTGTACCTTCTCTAGCTGACGTTGTTTGGTGGAGTTGAGAGAAGACGACCAGGCTGGTGACGCATACGTTAGTTTGGGGAGAATAAAGGCGTTGTAGATGGTCCTGTGTGTGTGTGTGTGTGTGTGTGAAAGGGGTAAGCAAGAGAAAAAATGTGTGTAACTGTGTGCTATGAGAGGAATACAAATAAAAAATAGATAGATAAAAAAGAATAATAGAGGGAGAGAAATAACATAATAATTGTCTTTAAAACAAGTTCACAATATTACATCTGTACTATAAATCCTAAGAGTCTGTGTACCCTAAATAAACTGATCTATCTCAAGGTTACAGTGTCCTGCAGCCTGTTGTTGCGGCCTGGTATTTGCGTTTTGTATGTGAAATTTACCTCGTATGTTGCCTTACACGTGTAGGGGGAGCCCCGTCCATAACAATGCACTGTAAACATGCCCTCGTGTCCTCCGTTACGTCACCACAATCCCTCGCTATACGCGGGTACTGAGATGTAAACATGCCCTCTTGTGCTCCATGTCCTCCTCGGGTATTAAGAGGCGAATTAGCAATTACTTATGAATATTTCAGGATCCCTAACTAGAGCCTCAAATTATGTATTTATATATATAGGATATATTTTTGTATTTAATGTACTTGTATTTATATGAGTCCGGTTTGTGGTTGTTGACCTTGAGATGAGTCACTTTGGTATCCGGAAGTCAAACCCGAATTTCCTTACTAAAAACTGCCGGTTTGGTTAGAGTATGTTAGGGATTGGTTATGTATATGTTATAGTGCATTGGTTTAAGTTAGGTTGGAAGAGGTTCGTTAGGTTAAGGTGAATTTTAGGTAAGGTTAGGTTAAGGTGGGTAATAGTTAGATTATTTTAGGCAATGATAAATTAGGCCAGGTTAGGTTAGGTTAAGTCAGGGTCGGTTAAGTTAATTCACCATAGATTAGGGAGGTTAAGATAGTTAAGATATTAGAGAGATATATTAGGTTAGGTTAGGTTAAATCACATGAAAGTTGGTCTAGGTTACTAACTAAGGTCCGAGGTGGTGTATTAACAAAGCATTTATTTAACATGTGTGATATAGATAGATCATCACCCGGACCTTGTTTGTCAAAAGGTGTACGTGGGTGAGGCACATGATGCAGTAGTGACCTTGATTTAGTGGCGGTGTGTTGGTGGTGTGTTGGTGATGTGTTGGTGGCGTGTTGGTGGCGTGTTGGTGATGGGAAGGGGTAGTGACGGTGCTGATGGTGATTGGAAGGGGTAGTGATGGTGCTGATGGTGATTGGAAGGGATTAGTGATGGTGCTGATGGTGATTGGAAGGAATGATAGTGCTGATGGTGATTGGAAGGGGTAGTGACGGTGCTGGTGCTGATTGGAAGGGGTAGACGGTGCTGGTGCTGATTGAAGGGTAGTGATGGTAGTGATGGTGATTGGAAGGTAGTGATGGTGCTGATGGTGATTGGAAGGGTGATGGTGCTGATGGTGATTGGAAGGGGTAGTGATGGTGCTGATGGTGATTGGAAGGGGTAGTGACGGTGCTGGTACTGATTGAAGGGTAGTGACGGTGCTGGTGCTGATTGGAAGGGTAGTGATGGTGCTGATGGTGATTGGAAGGGATTAGTGATGGTGCTGATGGTGATTGGAAGGGGTAGTGATAGTGCTGATGGTGATTGTGGCCCCGTTTGGACGTGATGCTACTCCCTAACAGCACTGGCTCGGGCGCCCTGGCAGCATCGTGTAAATTGAGAAACTTTTGAGGGTAATAATAATAATAATAATAATAATAATAATAATAATAATAAACAACTAATACTATAAAAATAATAATAACAATAGCCAATATAATAAAAAATCTATAAATTACACTACTACTACTACTACTACTACTGTTTTATTTTTTTTTTTTTTTTTTTAATACTTTTTTTCAACGTGGCCTCCAGCCTCCCCCAATAGCCACACCTTCTACTACTACTGCTGCTGCGACTAGACTTCCCAAGGACTAAGAATATTGAAAGAGCTGACAGAGAGAGACACGAGAATCTCACCTCATAGACTGACAAACAATAGTACATCACTCTCACTCATACACTATTACTGAGAACACCGAGTAGATACCGAGAAATACTTTGGGGGAGTCAGTTCAGGGAATCACATTTGACAGGGGGAGTCAGTTCAAGGGGTCAAATATGCCAGGAGGGTCAGTCCAGGGGGGGTCAAATATGCCAGGAGGGTCAATTCAAATCACAGTGTACTCAAGGGGGTTACAATTGTACTCAAATGGTAAATAATTATTGTCTTAATTTCTTTTTCAGGTGATCAATACGTTACCTGTGTCCCTCGGCATCTTGGGTGAGTAACCTGTTTAACCTCCAATGTTTGTTTACTTTCTGCCGTGTTGGATGTTGTGTTTACCTGTTCTGGTGCCGTCAATTGTTTTTTTTTTATATCCTTAATTTATAATATACGCAATATATTTATGCTTGAATTTACGCAGTTTACACTGGATCGAATTTGTACTTGTTTGAGGTTATGATACGCAGGTGATATAAAGTCAATACGCACTGTACTTACACTTATTAAAGTAATTGATACTTTTTGAAGATTATAAATAAATACCTCGTTCATTTATTTGCTGCGCATATAATTTAGTTAATACGCATTATTCTTACACTTACAAAGCTTACATTGCGTAAATTAATCGTTTAATGCTCATTGTACTTACACTTATAAATACACATCTCTGATATTATAATTAGATCCTTCTTAAGGGAGTCAACATCCACTTTTTTGAGACCAAGTAGGTCCCTCGTAGGTTGATTTTGTAAGTAAATAAGTGAGTCAACATCCACTTTTTTACATTACAAGTAAACCTTTCGTAGGTTGATAGTGTAAAATAGATAAGTAAAACAGGATAGTATTGTCAGGCTCGTTGGGAGTGGTTGAGATCTCAAACTATCCGGGCTATTCAGATTGGAGAGTCCTTGACCTACTTCCTGCTGGAAATGGGGTCACGGAGTACATCGTGTGAGAGGAGAGAGAGAGAGGGGGATGTCATGGTACTGTGAGAGCAGGTGGTGGGAGAGGTGGAGAGGGTGAGAGTAGAAAAAAGGGTGTCATAGTATGGTGAGGATGGGAGAGGTGAGAGGGAGAGTGGAACAGAGGTGTGAAATGAGGAAGGGAAGTCATGATGTTGTTTGCCCAGAGGATGGGGAGGGAGAGAGGTAGAAAAGTTAGGGCAGATGATACTATTTCTGTCACTAATAATATTTTATTTTATACAGTATGGCCTCCAAACTCCCCTTAGAGCCACACCTTCGCCACCACTTTATTACCTAAACTATCCCAATACAAAAAGTAACTACCCAAGCTGAGTTAGTTAAACCGCAGATCTATACGGCATTCAGTGACTGTTGCCTCCTAGGCATTGTCTGCCACTGTTGTCTGCTTAGGGGCCGATGATCTTGTTAATTGAGGCAAAGCAATGCAGCCCTAAGTAGGGAGAAGGACAGTCGACATCTCAACCAAGCTGCAACGTAACTTCTGGGCTGCTGTTTCTGTTCAGATAACACCTCGGCCAGTCGGGCGTAGAAGCATCTAGCACTTGGTCCCATCCCACCCGAGGTTGTGAACACCAGAGGAGTGAAGCTGCCGTGATCAACATTCTGAATTCTCTCGTCGTACACCCTGGTCTCGTCGTTCTCGTTCTTCTTTTGTGCAGCCTCGAGAGATAGGTTACGGTGACCTGCGGCCAGCATCCAGAATCCTCGAGCATTGACGTCCACCCGGGCTTTGTTGGGAGTCCTGTGATGGAGCTTCTTACCGTCCAATAATAATAAGTCTAGTAATACTATTAATGAAGTCAAATTATATTATTTCCAATGTAATTTTATAGGTAAATTACCAACATGAATAAAAGGTATTAATTATATAAGTTGCTTATGAATGTAGGTGTGTGTGTGTGTGTGTGTGTGTGTGTGTGTGTGTGTGTGTGTGTGTGTGTGTGTGTGTGTGTGTGTGTGTGCGCTCCAACACGATTGCATTATCCACTTACCAAGCTGTGTTTTGCGTATGTCATAATAATAATAATTATAATTATAATTAACGGTTTATTGAAAGAACTTGATTGACAAATAACATACAAGTAAATATAAGTGATACAAATGCGATATATAATAACTCGGTGGGGAGAGATCATTCAACAGGGAATTTCAGCGCAGTAATAGTGCATAGGTAAGAATCTATGTATGTATGTATGTATGTATGTATGTATGTATGTGTGTATGTGTGTAAGTATGTAAGGTGAGATATATATATAGAGACTGAGATAGAGCGTAGATTGCTAGGTAGGTAGATAGGTGGATAGGTAGATAAATAAGTAGATAGATAGACACAAACTTTGCCTGATAGAGAAACAAACACGAGAGAGAGAGAGAGAGAGAGAGAGAGAGAGAGAGAGAGAGAGAGAGAGAGTCACGAGTCAACCTAGCGTGACCTGTCTTCTCGTGTGAAGCTTCTCCATGACGTCACTGTTATATACTAGGTCATCAGACTGTTGCATAAATATCCCCGCCCAGATGCATAGCTGGACTGGGGGTGTGTGATGTATATATAGTACAGGTGTAGGTAGAGAGGTAGTCTGATATAGTGCTCGGGTGTTGATAGATAGATCTGTTCACGAGTATGTCGGAAGTATGTTGGTAAGTATACTATTACTACTACTACTACTACTACTACTACTTTTTTAAACGTGGCCTCCAGCCTCCCCCAATAGCCACACCTTCGCCACCATTTATTTACTCTACTAATAGTACTACTACTACTATTACTACTACTATTACTACTACTACTACCATCAGCAACATAAGCGTAGGAGGTGAGGTGTGGTAGGCAGGCAGGTAATGGAGAGGCCCCATGCCTTAAGCGTCAGTCGAGATGCGGGAGTTACATGCAGTATGTGGGTTAGTGAGGGTCGGCTACTGGGTCACTCTTCATCCTCTTGTGCTTTCCGTTACATGTTATTGGTGATAGTAGTAGTAGTAGTAGTAGTAGTAGTAGTAGTAGTAGTAGTAGGAGTGATTATATAAATGATGATGTCGCAGTAATAATGTTAGGTCATTATGTGTATAAATATCTGTTTACCCTTAGCAACCCTTAGTAACCCTCTGTTTACCCTTAGCAACCCTTAGTAACCCCCTCTATACCCTTAACATCCCTTTATTCATACTAAGAAGGTAGACATACTTATATTCGTTTTAGTATTTCCGTCTCTGTTTACACACTTGTCGGGCGGTGGGACTCTTGGCGGCCTGCCTGACCCCAGCACACACAGCACCTACACAATGCCCAGTCTCCTGTCAGGGTTGAAATTCCCTTTAGCCTCGATTAACCTACAGGTACTCTAACCAGTGCTGACCTTACCACACCGGCTATGTTACCTGGATAGAAATACGCTCTTTTGTTCGTTAACTTTTTATTTTATTTTAAAGTTTGTACATTAATACACACACACACACACACACACACACACACACACACACACACACACACACACACACACACACACACACACACACACACACACACACACGTACATCAAACTTTCAGAATACTGTATCTACACCACCTGATCACCTACCTATGTCAATCAAGGGTTCCTGTGATGCTATTTCCAAGACTACTATTGTGTTCTGTCAGTAACTTAAAAAAAAAAACCCTAAATGAACTAAAATTTTCAGAATGTATTAATCATAATAAAATTTGGAGGAGTGCGGTGGCCGAGTGGTTACAGGGAGTGTTTCTTGGCCTTAATGGTTGCTCGTTCACACCCAAGGCATTCCTACTCCTCCTACAGTTGGGATAAGATAACTATAGTTTTTCTGTTGGGGAGGTGGAGGCGAGGGGGTGCAGTGCCGACCGGATGCTCACTCACTCTCCCACGGATGCTAACTCATTCTCTCACTCACTCTCCCACTGACGCTCTCACAAGGCAGGAAACAGCCGTAAGGTCAAAGTTCCTTCCTCTCTTACCTGTCCTGGAAAGGTGAGAGATGAGGGGACGCTAGGTGAGAGGAGACATGGATAAGCAGAGGGGAAAAGGTGAGAGGAGGAATGGGGGGACAAAGGCTAGATGAGGGGAGACAGGCTAGGTGAGGGGAAGTC